ACTACTCCAACACTTACTAGACAAACGCTCTAAGCTTTCAATCAATTACATACGACTCATATATATGACAATAATAAGACCTATTTGGACTTACGGAATTGAGCTTTGTGGCTCCACTAAACCATCGAGTTCCTCTCGTATCCAATCCTTACAATCCAAAATCCTTCGTAAAATCCTCAACGCTCCTTACTTCGTCACAGATAAAATGATCCATAAAGACCTTAATGTTCCATATTTTTCCGATTTGGCCCAATCCATATACCTACCCTTCCATAACAAACTCCAGAACCATCCGAACCCTCTCGTTTCAAACCTTGCTTCCTCTTCGATCCCTGATAAGCCTCCGTGGCTTCTGAAAAGAAAATGGCTTCGTGATCTACTTATGTAAATATATTACTAGAGTGCTATCAATGGGTAGTTTCTCAAGAAGCGTTTTCATGTGACTGTATTATTGCTGTGTGTACATTTACTAGTATTTTTTTATAATACAGTTGTAAATATCAATGAACAAAAAAAAAAAAGAAATTAATAATAAAATGTTGAAATTGGAGTTAGTCATTCTCTCAACTAAAAGGCTCATATCATCCGTCTCTGATATATATATATATTTCCCATTTTTACGTTAAAAAATATGTTGAACTATTTGGATCAATCAAATGCTCGAATCGTTTTCGGTACGAGCTTTTGCATACATAATACCACAACGCTTGGGAGAGGTTATATGATTTGTCATGTTCAAGTTTAATAGTTTCAAATGATTTCAGATTTGAATAATGACGAAAAAGATATTATTCAATCCAACAAGTGGTAATTTATTAAGTGATACCCTTGGGATAGGATTTGCCGGGAGGCATTAATCAGGAGTGCAATTAAAATGTCACTAATAGATGTGTCAACTTATTGAGCCTGTGCCGATGAGAAATTGCCGCACGTTGTGAGTTGAGGGTAGGGGTAGGAGGTAGGTGAGTTGAACAGTGTTGTTTCTCTTGTCAACGCCCGCCTTCAACGTTGACACAACGTTCAACAGTTGTTTATCGCCTTCCGATTGTTTGCCTTGTCTCGCTCGTTGGCTGGTATTCTATAACCGCACTGCCCAACTTTAAATTCGTGCAATAATAATATGATTTCGTAAGATATATACCTTTTTTTTTATTATCTTTTCTATTATTCATTATTTTGATGTTTATTTCCGTTGGTTATATTCATGTATGTTCTTCAAAATTGTGACAAGTTTATTTTTATAAAATACAATCTGCCACCTAGTACATAGGCCTTATTATCAAATTATTAACATCACTACAAAACTTTGTGAATGGCTTCGTCTTATTCTAACGTACTGATTTTTCATCTACCAAAATTCTCAGAATTAGGCGTTTTCTCAGTAAATTAGGTAGAATAAACTCATAAATCACCTTTTGCTTTCCACTACATTTGTAAGATAATTTGATCACAAAATTAAAAAAAAAAATGACTTACAATATTATTGGGCCGTTTGTCCTATGTAACCTCGTTATTTCGACATGTTAGGAGTGAAAATCACGCAAAATGGCTCAATATTTTTGTAAGCCACTTTTATTCTTGATTTTGTGATTAAATTATCTTACAATTCAAATGAAAAGCCAATGGATCTTTTTAGTACCTAACTAAATAGACAAAATTTGCCGATCTCCAGATAGAAAACACACCAATTCTATGAATTTTCGTAAAAAAATCGTTGTAACGATAAGTTGAGCTATTAACGAAGTTTTAGGCGGATGTTAAAAATAAAAAAAAAAAATAAAAAAAGGTGTCTACCACGGTCTAGCAATAAAGGACAACAAGTATTTGGGCTACAAGTGTTCATTCATACAATATTATTATAAAAAAGAGAAATAGTGTAAATATTTGAAGAGAAATAAAAGTAATAATAAAGTAGTTAAATTTAAAAATATTGAATACTTAATAGGTTGACCCTTGTATTATTAAGAAATGAGATAGTCCGGGTGGCGGTCATAAATAGACTAAATATTGGCAAAACTATTTTATTAAAAGCCAACGTTTCAACCCGACTTTGCAGGTCTTCTTCAGGGAGGTGTGTTCAGCAAGCAGAAGAACTAAGAGTTTTAAGTAAAACTCCTTGCTGAACATACCTCCCTGAAGAAGACCTGCAAAGTAGGGTCGAAACGTTGGCTTGAAATAAAATAGTTTTTCCACTATTTTAGTCTCTTTATGGTCGCCACCTCTGACAATCTCATTCCTCAAAATTTAAAATAATAAATTAATAGCTTCGAAGTTGGATGAAAACGAAATGTCTTCTAAAAATACAGTCATACCTTAGTACAATATTTACTATCAACCAAGGGAACTCCGAACCAGTGTGTGCACAGCACCGCGCGTTGCCTGGAAACATAATAACCAAAGTTGGAGACAATAAAATTCGCGTCGCGGTGCCTTGGGGTTCTTTTAAATTCCCGACCCTCACCCCCTGGCACAGAACTCCGTATAGGAAAAAAACCCGTATAGCCTAAAATGCGAAATGCGAATCGAGTACAAAAAAAAGGTATTAATAGCTAGTGAAGATTTATTAAGAGCATAATACCCAGCACGTATGTTTAAACATATATATGGAGAATATGTTTATTTTTCTCCCCTAAAGGAGAAAACAATCTTAAAAGTGATTGCTTAATCCTAGGATTTGGTAAAGAATCAACGACGATATGGTAAACCGAGAAAAAACACCTTTGAGAAATTATATATTAACTGAAGAGAAATCCACAATTAAATCTTTAAAAACAAAATCGTTCATAATGTTACTTTGAATTCTACCGCCCGGGACAAGTACCCCTTTCAACTCATTCTCCCATATATATATATATATCAGTGCGACTTTATCGTGACATTATTAATGATGAGATCAATATTTATTGGATGGCTCCCACCTAAATTGTAACCGGTTGATATCCTAATAAGTTATCGATCCCATGAGCTCGATAAAGCTGTTATTTTCGTGTCATGTTGCCGCTTTGACATTGACTCGTTATTTTCAACATTTAATATTAATTGTTGATATTTCTTAGTGATATCTACAATTCTTTGGTTTAGTTTTGTATGTCATGAAGTGGCGCGGTAATATTTTTAAATTCCTATTCTCTTCGTCAGCGGTTCTCAAATATTTTTGCGGTCAACCGTGATTTGAATTTCATTTATATAAAGATAGAAGACGACTAATTACTATAAGCAAAATATAAATTTTTAAAATACAATATTACTATGAAATAATTATGATTCTTAAAAACAAGTATAGTTCTTATCAGTTGATATTCTGCTGTCGAATATTGGATCCGACGATACGAGCGTTTTGCTAAAACCGTTTGTCTAATAGTTCATCAATTCACATGGAAATCCTTTGAATGGACTGGTTAGACTAACTGCCGGACCTTACGTTTGGCACTTTGCATTCATAGTTCGTTGTTTGACTATAAGGCTACACCATGTTCATCGAACGTACGAATGTGTTGGTAGGTAGTATCGTGTGGATCCAGTTTTTTACAATACACTGAAACAATATGCAGTGCCTGCATGTAGAGTCAGGGGTTCCCAGAAGGGTTTCATGGCCCAAGTGGCGCCATCAAAATTTTTGACAAGCTAAATACCGCAGCAAGTATAACTGTATCTGATCTACGATTTTTCTAATTCTGCCTGAGCTTGTTCTGTTTTAAGAAAAGGTAAGCAATAAAATATCTTGAGATGAGGAGAGGGGTAGGGGTAGGTTCTTGCTCCTTGGGGAGGGGGGGGGGGCACCCCTGTGTAGAGTTCTTTAAATGAAACCTTATTGAACTATTGTCTGTCCTTGTCCATGTTTATTTAAGAATCATCTTTTTGTAATTTTAATTTTATTACAAGGCCTTAGTTTTATTTTAATTTAATTGACGTAACCTCTTCATAAACCAGTATGTATTAATGATTGTAGAATATTGAATGCGGCTTCTGGATTAAAAAAATTCATCACGTTACAACGTAACGGTACAATTATTGTTCTTGTCATTGTTGGCCCAGAACTATGTGAAATTTTTAAAAACAAATATTTTTAATAAAATAAAAAATATTGATTTATTATGTTAAATCTATAAATGACGGTTTTAACTTTATAAAAATCTAAAATTACTTTAAAAACTAATCTATTAACTTCAGGTATCGCATATAAGTTAGTTACTATCTAAGATAATAATTGCTCAGTAATACGGATAATTTAAGGTGTTACATGATAATATAAATTTGGACATTTAAATAAAATAATACTTTTCTCGTGCCATTTTACATTATTTTAACCATGCCCAATGGTGTTATTCCAAATAAAATAAAATTAAATTAAAATTGATACCTTAAATGAGGAACGTTATCGAAGCCTAAAGATTTGTTTACTTAATATAGCTAGCGTAGGTGAGTGAGGTGTAGGCGTCATTCCTAACGTATCATATGCTTAGCATCATAAAACAGCGAAATGATTTTCCAACTTCTGATTCCATGAAATGATACTGCATTCTGAACAAAATACTGTTACATAATTTCAAAGAAATTTTATCATCATGTCTATTATTTACTAAAGCTTTGATTTTTTCATCCTCAATATTTAATATTAATTTCTAACCAATTTAGAATTGAATTATATGTCGTGTTGCAAAAGTTAGTGCGAAAACTAAAATTGTTCATTAAACAAAATAAACAGACTATTTTTTTATGTTATGATTTTGCTTGTTTCTCGTAAGATGCGCGAGGCCGAGATTCGCGAGAAAAGCTCAAATCCTGATTTTCAAAAAAAAATTTACTTACAGGGTTTTTTAGTAGCATGGCCTTCGATATATGTAAGAATAGATGTCAGTAACTCGCATATAGGTATATTAGTTAATTATAATTATATATTTATATTATACTAAGATGTTTATATATAGGTATATTAGTTAATTATAATTATTTATTTATATTATACTGAGATGTTTCATACTAATTGAATTTAATTGTAGATGTGTTCCTGTCCCGAGGCGGCATACCCCCTACTTCGGCCAACCCGACTACAGGATATACGAGCTCAACAAGAGGCTACAGCAAAGGACTGACGTAAGTTATATAATATTTACGTTATTTTATTATTGGTCTAATGAAAAATAAAGATTTTAGTAATAAAATAGGCTTATGAATGAATTTTTATGATAATTTAGAATTTTTAATGACAATCTTCATACCTATTATACTTAATTTAATTTATTTTATCGGAAAGAACTTTCCATTTTTAGTACTGAGCATCTGCCTATTTTTCACGAGTAGTTAAACATGTAAATAATACATTAATTCACTTATTTTTATATATTTGCGAAAAAATTAGTCAAAATTTATCACAGATGAACAAAATGTGTTATTCTAAAAATCTATATAATTACTTACTTTTTTTTCATACTTATAATTTCGTTGTCTTGGCAAGCATCATTTCACTGATTTTTTAAAAAAATATTTCTCTTTTTTTTTAAAATACTTCTACATAACGTGAACTACGGAAATATGCATAATTAAATCTGCTCTTTTATTTCTAAAACCCAAATAGTGAGTGAAATTTTTCGATTCTGGGGATAAAATTTGTTTCAACCTTGCACATAAATACATAGCTTTGCCCTCCCTACCTTGGATGATTAAGAAGAAATAAACATAAATAATATAAGATTTTTTTTTTTTATTTAGTTATAAATATCTAAACGCCTGTGCTATTCCTTATTGCATAGGCACTTTGTCACTAGTTCATTAACAACTTTTTTTCTTTATTCCCCAGTTTATATTTTTTATTTTATTTATACATAACATATTGGGTTTTTCGGTACATTGGATCCTTTTCGCCATATAATAAAATTTCAAAATATTAAAAATAATACGAGATTAAAAGTACAATTACATTATGTTTGAATTTAAAAATTCATTCTTTTTTTCTTGATTTATTTTTTTTTTTTGTTACTTTACTTTGTTTATTTTTACTGTTAATTGTTAAATTATATTTCAAAAAAACCAACCAGTCACATGGGGAACGTTCATAGATATTGTTATCACTGTGCTACTTAAGTTGAAAAAATCTACTGATTTTTAAATAAATAATTTAACTTATTTAGAAACCGTATCAATTTATTTTCTCATTCAATACATTAATGAAACGTAAATAATAAATAAATTATTATATTATTTAAGTTTAAATTTTCTGAGTTCTCTAGTCGAGAAGTCAAAACTCTAATTTAGAATAATCTTTGAATTTTGCAAAATATTTTATTAAAATAAAAATAAAAAAATTATTTACAAAAAAAAAGAAATTAAGTAATAAAAATATAATTAAAATTAATTATTTAATTTTAATATATATTTATTTCACAATAATTTGCGATCGATTTGTCATTTTTTTAAATATAAATATCCTCTCGATTAATATTGCAGACTCCATCGATACTGCTCGGATGGATTCAGATGACGTACGGTATCTAATACGTGCAAAAAATGAAAATTAAAAAAAATTTTCATTCCTTTAACTCTTTTCTTTAAAGTAATATTTATTTCAAATCAAGTTCTAAATTAAAGGGACCGTTGCTATTGTCGTGAAAGTTAATTTAAAATAAAAAAATATCCTAATATATCATCATATGACGTTGATTTCGATCTCTGTTACATTTAGTTTCAAACTCTTGACAACGCTGGAACTAAAAATACGTCGGGGATTTTTCGCTACCTTATAGAGCAAATTGATCGATTTTGTGAAGGATTTTTTTCTTCAACCATAATTCAAAATTATGTTTGTTTTATGTTATATTTATGAACGTTCAATGTTCATTTTTAAACTGGGAGGAACGTAACCAGTGAGGAAAACGTACCCATACTCGCTGGCTATTGGCCAGATTTTATAAGAGAATCTAGAAACGTGTGTGGTAGTTAACATCTATTTTTGTTTGGTATACAATTATATAAAACGGGAGAAGGGATATGGCCGGAAAGGAGGCCTAGATATCTGGAAAATATAGGAATATTCTATTCAATTGTTACAGGAATAGATTGTTTCAAATCCAGTTTTTTTTTTATTGAAATCATTGGTTTTATTATAATTTTTTTTTTTTTTTTGTAACATAACAGTAGTTCTTATTTTTTCATTACTTTCATATAAATATTTATTATTGTTCCAAGAGTACGCGTCCCCCTCCCCTGTTTACAAACCAGTTATATTGAGTCTAAAATCCATAATTTGGTTTGAGTTCTGTTATTTAAATTTTTGTAAAAATCATAATTATATATATATTGTGAGTATAGAATACAAATGAATATTTATATTTCATACTTTTAATTTCATATTGTTGATATTTTCACTTTAGCACACACTGCATTTTATTTATTTATTTATTTATTTTATGGATACTCATGGTTCAATTAAACCAAAATAAGTTTGATCATTTAATTGGATTTCATTATAATTCCTTAACATGTATTTAATAATATTTTCTTTATTATAAAAATCACCAAATGTAAACTTTTTTAAAAATATATTTTAAATAAACTTATTGTAAGAACACAATTATGTGTTGTTGTAGACCGGATTTTCGTGCAGTAAAAATCTGCAAAACGTGCAATAAAAAAGGCAAAATGTGCAAAATCGTGCAGTAAAAATCCAAAATACGTAAAATTGTGTAATTAACACCTAAAAACATGTAAGATCAACAATGTTGTTTAATTTATAATATTAATTCATCGGAATTCATCAGATCTTGAGTTAACCGAGAGATAAAAAAAAAAAAAAAAAAGAAAAAATTGAAATGAAATTCCAGATTATAATCAACTATTATAATAATGATTATTATCTAATGATGCAGATCATTGAAGGTTTGAAGGAATAAATGAAGGCAGCGATTATAGATATCTATATATAATATAGACCAGACCAATTTTAGATATTTAACTTTTATTAAAAATAATAATGAAAACTTTATTTTTAATACAGTTGAAATTTGCAATATTATACATTCCAAAACGTTTTTGTTAAAATTTAAAGAATTAAAAAAAAAATCAAATAGACTGTATGTTTGAGATTTTCAAGTGTTCAAATATTAGTGTTAAATCTGTTTTTCTATATCACTTAAAAAAATATATTTTTGGGGATTACGTTCTTTCTTAAAAAACAACAACAAAAATCATTCAATTCCTTTATAAGACTATTTTTTTTTAGATGTTCTGCAATAAGCGTCTATCACTTATTTATTATCACCTGATTGATTTTTTATAAGTTGACTAGCAAGCACTTTCTCATCAAATTCTTTGTTCTCACATTTCAAATTAGGAGTATTTTTATATCTAAATTTTAATTTTTGACGGGAGGCTTGATTTTAATTTCAGCATTATCAACTTTTTTGTTTTATAAGAATGAAATTTCTACAAATCAATTGAAAGACAGAAGAGATACTGAAGAGTTGAACGGTGAGTGAGGATTCAAGCCAAAACAATAACGATAAATGTCTTATTAACAATTCAGCTAATTCTAGGAAAGTAGCTTTTTATTATACAATACTTTAGGCAAGTTTTATTCCACTAATAAATCTCACTTGTGTTTACATCTTACTTTTGTAATGAATACGATATTGCTTCACATACAATTATTTGCCTTCCTCATATTTTTCTATTTTGAATAATGAATTAAAGTCAACAATGTATTAAAATAAATATTAACACACTCACTTATACATTTGTATTTATAAATTGTCTAATTTAGCACAAAAGTGCAAAAATGTGCAATTTAAGCCAAAAATGGCAAAACGTGCAATATAAAATTTAAATAAGTCATTCTACATGTCCTGAAACGGATAGATATTCAGGTCCAGAGTTTTTAGACGCAAGCAAATAAAAAGTGCAATAACATGGAAATCTGGTCTCTAGTTATAACATATTTGTTAATTTTATCTGATGATTTCTCTTTTATTAAATTTATTTTGGAGGGAATAAATGAAATCATCTACTATCTTAAGCTTTGTTATATGATGTTATCTGATCATTGTTCCCCTTTTATTCAAAGCAGTAGCATAATGCAAAAACTCACTCTCCCCCCACAAAAAAAAAAAAAAAAAAAAAAAAAAAAAAATGACTAAGTATACCATTCTAAAATGTCTGCTCAATGTTACTTTTTTTAGTTTTCAATAAATTAATTCTTTCGGATATTTGTGTAAAAATGGTGCATTAATGTATTTTTTTCTGAATACCGATTTGATATGAGTAAAGTTAAATGATATATCGTGACTGGATGGTATATATGAAACTGATAACTATCATTTTTCTGTTGAAGAGCTTCAATGCTTATAATTATTATCAAAAATAATTATTTCATTTAATTTAATTTTTCAATGTGCAGGTTTTCCATGAATTTCTTGTAAAACAGCCATTGAATACCTTGTGCATAATTAAAACTAAATAAAACCAATTTTTTTACATATTGTGTTTTATCATAATGTTGATTCTAAGGTTATAATGAAATAATCTTGTATGATATTTGAAGAAATGATATCACCACATTTGCTAACGATGAATTATAATATTTTGCAGGAAAGTGACAACCTTTGGTGGGATGCGTTTGCAACAGAGTTCTTTGAAGACGATGCCACGCTGACGCTCACCTTCTGCTTAGAGGATGGACCAAAGAGATACAGTCAGTATTAATATGTTTATTGCTTTAAGTGAAATAGTTGTTATGTAATACAGTTATAAAGTTTTAGGTACTCAAAGTAATTCTTAAGTGAATTGAATTTTTAATTTAGGTAGTTAATTTAACCATGTTAGTAATTCTTGGTGATGAAATGTTTTTTCAGGCAATTTTGTTATTTGTAATCCAATTTACTGTTAAAATTGTATTAACTTATACTGGTAATTTTTATCAAATGTTGTATTTTGAACACCTTTTTTTCACTTAAATGAGATATAGAATTTAGTTCTAAAATTTGTGATATGCCATTAACACCAATCTATTGAATTGATTTTGTTCTTACTATCTGTTGCTCTAGTAGGTGATAAATACTTTTGTTCTCTACTGCATAATTAATTCTATGTGGAATTTTCAGCAAAAACTCTTGTTTCTTTTCACTCTGTCCCTTACTCGATGTTTCCATCTTTAATTCAAACAAAACAAATATATGCTACATCATGAATTTTAATAGCTATAACTTATAGCAAATTAATTTTGTTAGTATTAACTCTTCTATTCCTCCAACTAGGCATCTTAAGGGAACTTTTCTTACCCTTTTTCAACATTGTGGTCGATGTAATAAACTATTCTCTCCATTTTTATCTCTCATTCTTAGAGAATAAGACATCCAAAATACCCTGCTTTGGGATGTAAGCTTCTGCTTTTATGATGATGTATCATTGTAACTGTATTGTATTGATTAATCACTACTTTTTATCTCAGGAAGCCTCTATTGTTTTGTTTTGCCATTATTTTATTCGCTCTTGTTCATAATTTTTTGGTCTATGTCCTTGTTTTAAGGAGCAATGTGATATACTTACCACTCAGGAATTTCAATTTCAAACAATGTGTTTTATTCATAGATGGATACAATTGTAATCAGGTAATCGTGTCACATTTTTGCTATATTTATAGTGTTATTGAATCAAGTATAAATTAGCATGATCATTAAGTTTTATTCCAACTCTGTGTTTTTGTAGCATTTGAAGACATAAGCGGATCAGTCCACTTTCCTGAGTTCCCTTGAAATAAAAGTTGTAGAATTATTGTCTTGTATCAATTTCCTTCAGCTATATAAGATGTTTGTTTTTTTAATTGCTGAGGATGGTTTGTAACAACCTTTTATGACAATCTGGCCTAAAACTTTGTCATTTCTCTAATTGTATTATATTTAGGCGAGGAAAACTGTAATCGAATTTGAACCTTATAACATAGTTTCAGTTCAAGTTAATCGTCATTTAAAGAAACCTATAAAATGTTATTTGTACTTGTTTGGTTTATCAGTGAAAAAAGGATTTTATGTTACAGACATCTTTTATGCTGAAGTCCATTAACTGACATTCTGTGTTTCTGTTTTGTATAAATATCTACTATAGGTCATTTACTGGCGTTACCTAATTAAGAATTGATATTTTTCAGCAATCGGGAGGACGTTAATCCCAAGGTACTTTAGAAGTATATTCGAAGGAGGAGTTACAGAGCTTTATTATAATCTTAAACATCCTAAGGAATCATTCCATAATACTAGTATTACACTCGATTGTGATCAGTGTACTATGGTCACGCACCATGGAAAGCCCATGTTCACTAAGGTATGTATATTTATAAAACTATATTCTAATAATTACAATAGTTATGTCAAATTCATAATTTATTTACCTTTAATACCATACCTGTTTGTTTAATTGAGTGGTTTCATATAAAAGATGGACATCTGTCATTTTCAGCAAGTGGAGAAAAAGTCAATTGTTGTTTTATAGATTCAACTCAAACAGTTTCTGTTGATTTGATTTTCGAGGTTGTTTATTGGATTGAGCCTTTGGCTCTTGTCTTTCATCAATCAAGGATTCACAAGTACCCTCTTGTGATATTGATGGTTGATGTTAAACCGTAGCGGTCATTGATAATGCATGACTTTGGAGCCTGTTCTGAGGTCAAATAGAAATTTTATTTGATTTTCATTCAACCTAATCGGCACTACACAGCATCGCCAGAGCTGTGGTGGCTCATTGAGTGGTCATGTGTTTGCAGCTGCTCTCTGCATATGATACCAGTGTTGTGCTGGTCGTGACTTTAGTTCAGCCAGCCATCTGGTTTCAGTATGCTGATGAGTGGTTGAAAGCTGGCATAGATAAGATTATCCTCTCCGTGAGTGCCCGTGGGTCCTTGCACCTTATTATCGTTGGAGGCTGAGGGTCGGTTAAGACGTTCGGGTTAGGTACGACCTTCTCCCAATACCCGCACTTCGTATAGCAGACTACGGGTTGTTGATTTCATTTCAGAATGTTCAAGTTGAATCATGAAAAAAATTTATTTAAATTGATCTTTTCTCAACTTTTTCAAAACCACAGATGTCTGTTTTAATATGATATGAGACCACTCAATTGTATAAGTTTCTTAACTAAAAATAAAATTTCCTCCGCTGTTCCTTCCCCTCAATACTGCAAATCCTTTATGATTATTTTCATTATTATAAATTTTCCTACTTGAAATTTTTAAAAATTAAATTTATTTAATAATTATTAAGTTGTGTATTAATAATCCTATTGTTATTTAGGAGGATTCTAATGTTAAATTAATTAATTTATATTTTTTAATAAATTCAAAAATAATATCATAATCATTGCTATATTCTACTATTTTATCTAACTTTTAAAAACTTACAGTGGAGTGGGGACCGGGGTAGCGTTGAGCCTGAGTCGTACTGTCAGGTTTGCACGGAAGGCAGACTGATCTTAGAATTCACGTTCGATGACTTGATGAGGATAAAGTCGTGGCACTTAGCTGTGAGGAGCCATCGAGAGCTAGTCCCCCGCTCCGTCCTCTCCTTGCACTCGCAAGGCCAGGACCCTGCGGTGATTGACCAGCTGTCCAAGAACATCACCAGGCAAGGAATTACCAACTCCACCCTCAACTACCTCAGGGTAAGTTCCTAGTAGTTATATATCTTATCATATTTTACTTTTAGTTGATATTAAATTTTGTAATTAATGAATGCAGTTAATTATTTACTATTGTGTAAAACTACTACATTCTGAAGTATTTTATTGAAACTACTTTATATTTATTTATTTGCCTTTACTCTTACTATCATTTTTTTAGTTTTAAATAGATTTCATTTTATCAGTAATTGATAATACAGCCTTGGTTAGAAATTGTATTATCCTTAATCATTAACCCTTTAAGGTTATAGTTCTTTAAAAAAAAAGTATAGATCTGCTCAGGCTAAAGTTAAAGTATTGGGTACAGAGGTGGCTCTCCAGAGTTAGTTTTTTGGGGAGAGACTATCAGGATGATCCAAAGGATTTGGAAAAAATATCCCTCGTATATGGGCGAAATTGTAAATAACTGATTTTCTTAAGAGATAATTAATTTCATTGATCCATCTACAATGATCAATTTCTCAATAAAGTCTTTAATTTCTCTCAAAATAATGAATGAAATATGTATTCACAGTTTTTTATGAATATTGTTATTATTATTATTACCATTTCCTTTATATTCTTTACATATCATTACTTTTTTTTATTAATATTACATTTTTACTTTCACTTACATATATAAGTAATATATACGTAAGGGTAAGTATTGCTATCGTGAAAATTTTTGAATCTCAGTTTTCAACGGAAATACATGTTTTGAAGTCCCCTGAATCCAAATAACCAAGTGTCGCAAAATGGTCTGTGAGTGTGTGTGTGTTAACAGTCTAGCTCATAAACGCAAAGTAGTACAAAACTGATATTCTGTATTTCAGGTTTGTATGTGAGCCGGATGTGACAGTAACTTTTTCGTTAAAATCGGCTAACCGGAAGTGCCACTTTATATGAACTCCGAAACACATTTTTACAATTTTCTCAAAAACGGCTCTAACGATTTTGATTAAACTCGGTGTATCATTGTATAATTAACTGGTCTTTAATATCACTTAGGTCTTATCCCCGTTGATGTCACTTTACAATGCTTTAAATGCCCAGTGTTCATATATGTCTTCCTCTAAAGTACCTTTAATATAGTTTATTTTAAAAAGTTAATCATTTCGCATTATTCAGAGTTACGAAAAAAAGTTACATATAACTTTTGAAAGAATTTGATTAGTTAATAAAGGAGAAACAAAATAAAAATGCAGAAAAATCATTTTCTCGACACCCTTTAAATTTATCTATATAACATACTTCAACAAAAACAAGCTTGAAAAAAAGTTACGAGAGATGGTAAAATTAAATTCCGAATAACTCAAAAAGTATAAATTTTTTTGTGGATATTGTATATGGTTTCTTAAAAGTTTGTGAAATTTCCTAAAAAAAAACAAAAAAAAAGAATTGTTAAAATCGGCCAATTACGAGGAAACATATGGTCTCTAGTTTTTTTCCTCTGAAGAGGCGAAAATTTGGATAAATTTAAAATATACTTTTTTAATTGTTGAGACTAAAAAAACCTTTTTTCTACAGATATTTAATAAAGTATCTTTCCTAAGAGCATCTTTCATAAGAAATAAGTACCTAAATGTACACCTTTATTCTCAGTTCTATATTTCAACACTGCAATCACCACCTCCGGAATCAACTTACTCATTGTCTGCATAGATAACTTTTTCAACTAAAAATATCACTAAAATGAATTGGAGTTAGTCATTCTGTGGTTTATAAAAGCAAAGAAAGTTGTGTGTGTGGTTTATATAAGCAGATAGAGTGACGAGATTTTTATTGCCTGTCGTCGATATATATTATATAGACATTTTGTTATTATAATGGTCTTAATGACTTGTTATCTGTAAGCTTTAAGCTTTAGCTCTGTTTAAAATGCACTTCAAAAAATTTTATAATATCCCAGCATTGCCAGAAAATAATTTCGATTCAAATTAGATCGGTAAGTGAAAGTTGTGTGTTGCGTGCACCAAATTTTTTAAATACATGTTTACATAAAGTGTGGCCTGCTGTAACATTGCTCCATCATCCAAGTAGCCGATAGCCCATGAAACCATTTCGTTTGGCCAGGTCTCTTGAAGATAGTGATACAATTATCGATTGCAAATCTCCACGACATTGTGTTCTTTATGCATCAGACTTTATTGTTACTATTATTCTACGCTATCAGCATTTGTAACTATTTTTTTGTATTTATTTATTGAAATTTACAACTGTATTAAATAAATATGGCGTATAAATATGAACAATTCAGGAATAATGACGAACAGACTTGTCGAGATACTACCCAATAATACCACTCCCTAAATAGTTCTAAGTGAGAAGATCACAAGGCCAACTTCTTTCCGCCTAGAAGGTTCTGATGGGATTGAAGTTTATCATGAAAGAATAAATATCTGGCTCAGGCGAAATAGACAACATATGCAATATCTTATTTATTGCATTATCTTGTTTATCATTTTATTATTTAGAGGAGGATACGTCTACCTCACAATAACATTGCTGGATAATGGAATGGGATGTGCAGAATCCATATTGGTGATCAGCAATTATTTGATTATAAGGATGGTTTGCGGGCGTTTTAAGATGAGTTTTCAGAATTTTGCCTATAATAAGATTTTGTAAAATACTGGTGTGAATTAACTTAATATTATAACATAGTTTGATAAAATATATGTGTTCATTTTTATTTTAATTGAGGAACTTTTTTTTCCTTTTATTCTATAATAATATAATAATAATCTATTTGTGTTTATTTTTAGCTGTGTGTGATATTAGAACCAATGCAAGAACTGATGTCTAGGCATAAAGCCTATGCCCTCTCGCCGAGGGATTGTCTCAAGACAACCCTTTTCCAGAAATGGCAGCGAATGGTTGCACCACCTGGTTAGTATTTCTATTACAACTATTATCTATTGATTACTAATAGTGGTTATATGTAGACCGTAAATAAATTTCCTTGACTCTGTGCATCATTGAAATTGTGCCTTTTTTTTTCGAAATTTGTTGATCTCAGATTTAAGAGAAATTATCTTTACTCATTGTTTTGAGTAGATATTAAACATGCTAATGTCGAAGAATCTTCAACATGCTGCAATGAGTGTGTTGTGGATGCTATCCTCCTTTTCTTTTGTCTATTACTTATTTCCACCTTCCTATGCCACTGTGGTAAAAAGGTGTATTCAGCAGTATGATGTTAAGCATTAATGCATAATAAAACTTGCTGCAATGATGGCAGTATACAGTATTCAAAGATGTGCACACAGCTCTTATTGCCTTTCAAGTCTTCAATAAATTAAGATTGGCTTCCAGAAGCCAGAGATCTTCCTGGCTTTCTCCTCCTGTGGGGACATATATTGAAGTGAGGTGAACCCACAACCTTCTTCCACCTATTTATGCATTCCTTGATGAACCGCAAAAATTTGTCTTCACTGAGGAAACTTATTTTCAATGAGAACATAGATTCCTGTTACACTCATCATTGTGGCCCTTTTTGACAGTTATCCGGAATTCCACAGGTTGGACATAAAGGATCTACCTCAATGCCAAAAATGCTTTTCACTTGAATTTTAAAATAATATGATCACAAAATCTAAAACAAAAGGTGGCCTAGATAAATATTGGGCTATTCAGCGTGACCTCCACCTCCAAAGTGTCAACATAACATAAGTGGTTATATAGGCCAAACGGCCCAATATTTTTGTATGCCACCTTTTTTTTTGTTATGATTTTCTGATTATATTATCTTACGATTCAAGTGGAAAGCAAATGAGTGTTCGTGAGTTTTTAGTACCTCGTTAAATAGACAAGTTTGTGGATCTCCAGACTGAAAACGCCCCAATTTCGAGAATTTTCGTAAATAAAATATTTGTAGGTTACAATGAGTTGAAGCTATAATTATTTGATAAAAAGTACCACGGACTATTATACGTCATAAATATGATGAAGTCACATGTTAACTAACTCTGAAGCTTTGCTTGAAATCCTCCATGTCTAGTGAAAAATTAGGAAATCCAATGGGCCGGGAGATCCCACATTAGACTCAACTTTGGTTTGGTAATGTACTTCCTTCAGGGGTTATTACCCACCTCCATAATTCTCTCCCGAAGATTTTCTGGAAGGCCTGTAGAGCCTTCTCTCTTGTATAAATATTTCGTCTTTTCTGCTAATCTAGCAAGAGGAGATCAAGAGGCATTATCCCTGCTAGTACCTAGAGTTTGACCTGTATTCTCTAGTGATGCAAAGCTGAGCTGTCCTCTGAGTCGATGCTAGCCTATTTCTCCATCTTAGTGTGGGTTTCCAGAACAACAAGGAAGATACATACTTCAGGATATCTTTCACAAGAGCTTTATAAGTAGTGATTGGGGCTGGATATCTGAGACACCCCAATTGTCTTAGACCATTCATTATTTGTGCCTATCTGTCAAATATTTCAAGTGAAGCATCACATTCAAGCCTAAACCTCACCTAACTTCAGGGTAGGTTATTATCTTACTTGGTCATATCGTCTGGCCTGCTATATTCATGGTTACAGGGTGTGTCCTTTCAGTCTTTCCCTTATGGAGGATGTCTTGTACGTTGGCAGTCCTCATCAATCCTCATCTTCTTCCCCTCACTCCTATCACAACTGAGCTGGTATCGCTCTGCTCTCTTTTCCTTCACTTTGTCTATTATATGTACTTGCAGATATTTTGATACTTAGCAGATTTTGGATTGCATTTATTGCTAATAGTTGGGACTGTTTGGATTTCAGCTGAAACGAGCAATAAAACATTTTGTTAACTTTTGCCTGTTATACAAACTGTAATTTACATTCCTAAATTCTTTTTTATTATCATTATATGGTGATAAGTTTCCCAAATGAAACATTACTTTGTGCTGTTGTTGATTATTTGATGTGATCAGATTGATTATTTTATTTCAATGATAAGCAGATGATACTGAGTATCTAATTGTTGGTCTCAGTGAGCTAAAAGATGATCGAGCCAAACTGGAGGAATGCCTATGCAAACATTTTTTTTCTTGCAACTATGCACCATCACTAATTAAATTTAGTGACCATTGCATCAAGTTAACTGTTTCTATGTTAATATTTATTTGTAAATAATAAAAATAAAATATATTATTTAAAAAGTAAGACTGTTCTGTTAACAAACCAATTAACTATTTGTATTCTAGTTGATTTTCCTCCATTTCAGCACCAATTTAAAAGGAACTTGTGTTTAGCAATCCTTAAGTCATTTTTCTCCTTCTTAGAAAACATTTTTTCAACATTTTAGTTTGAATAGGCATATTATCTTATAAAATTTCACTTAATTGGTTGATTAATTCAATCATTAGAACCAATATTGGTTTAAAATTACATTATTCATCCAATTTCTTTTTTTTTCTGATATATATATATATATATATATATATATATATATATATATATATTTATATATTCATTTATTTATCATTATCATAATATTATTATATATATATGATTTTTAGAATCGCAAAGGCCAGCGAACAAGAGGCGGAAACGGAAAGGTTCCCAAAGCGGAGGCGCTGCTAACAATGCCCCTCCAGCCCCTAACAAGAAGAGGTCTCCAGGTCCCAACTTCTCATTAGCATCTCAGGTATCTGCTCCTCAATCAACCATATGTTGTAATAAATAAAGTTAAATTTTAATAGTTCAAGACCCGCTAATAAAACTATCCATCGAAGTAAGGAAATTAAAAATACACATAAGTTTTTGTGTTTATTTCAACCGAAGTATATTTATACTCGCTTATAATTATATATTGTTCCTATTAGGGCGTATTATCATATCCTCAACATTGTTATTTCTTCTTTAAAAGTGAAAAAGAGACATTAATGAAATGTTATGATATCATTGGAAAAATTACAAACACAAAGCCTTGAAACTCTAAAATGCAATTCACACAAATTAGCCCGTCAAGGTGTTACCAATCGAGATGAATAATACATCTGGGCAGAAATAACTATATAGAGAATACAAATTTGTGGTACATATGTCATGAACAGTCCCTAAAAGACTTATTAACTAGAGACACTACTTCACTCTATATATCCAAACACTGCTTAATTCTTTGTTACTGCTTTTGATATTTATTCTAGTATTTCTCGCTTCCGTCACTTAACATGTCAGCTGCGGTTTCTGTCCCCAGATTCCGATATTCGTCTGGATTTCGGCTGGGATTGTTCCGAGTTTTGTCTATCCTACGAATTCTCTAAAATGTCCATTTTTTAAAATATTGGAAAGGTAGTTGGACTGATGTAAAGTAGATACAAACATAAATAAGCTTTTTTAAGTTATTTGTTTTAGAATCCTAGTAAAAGAGCCACACACTTTCACTAATCCTTTACTTTTTAACTTTCCTAAGTTGTCTCGTACTTTTTCATTATATAGAATACACTCATACAATTTTGAAAATGTAGGAACCAAATAATTTTTGAAACTTTTTAAGCAATTATAAATCAAGATGAATTTATGAACTGTATAAAGAAACAATAGTAACTAATCTTAAAAACATTTTTTTTTTTTTAAATGTTCAGTTACTCTTCTTTAATTAGTGAGGAGTTGTTAGCTTAATCTATCTATATCTTTTTTGAAGTTGAATATTCCTTCTACAATTATTCTTATGTTTAATTTTTAATTTTTAAAAAATGATCCTTATTGCAGACTTTATATAGAGAAATACAAATTTAATTAGCTCATGAAAATTTGTCTTGACACAAATCTCTTGTGTTCCCATTTAGGTTGGCTGCATTTGATTATCTTGAATTAATTTCTTGCAAAAACAAGCAACACAGGTCTCTGCTTGTACTTCCATAGTTTTTAGATACAATAATAATATTAAGAAGATATTCCGAGTAAAAGTAGTATGTTTTTACAAAAATAATGTAAAAAATGTAATGAAAAAAAATATAACTTTTATATTTAATTCCAGCTTCAATCATAATTCAGTCTTCTCTTAGGAGTAGATCAATTGATAAAATATATACTGCTAACTTCTGATTAATTGATGATTAACCCATTATCACTCAAACACATTTCAATCATAATTGTCAAAATATTTTATGGATGATAAATAATCAGGATGCAATCAATTTTTAAGATTTTTATTGTTGCCAACGTTTTGACCCACACACAAATCTTTACGCTTAAATCATTTACGCCTATTAAAATCTATAAGGCTTTATTGAAATGTAATTGCTCTTATTGTGTAAAACACAATAATATTAATAATGATGTAGAGTTGGTTGACCGTTGATATGATATGAGAAGGAATTAGTCGAGGGTGCGGTCAAAAAAAATAAAAAAAATTAAAATATATAAATAATTTTAATTTTTGCCGACGTTTCGACCCACTTTGCAGGTCGTCTTCAGGGCGTTGGATGTGGCACTGCGGGAGGCGGTTGAAACACCAGTGTTTCAACCGCCTCCCGCAGTGCCACATCCAACGCCCTGAAGACGACCTGCAAAGTGGGTCGAAACGTCGGCAAAAATTAAAATTATTTATATATTTTAATTTTTTTTATTTTTTTTGACCGCACCCTCGACTAATTCCTTCTCATCAAATAATATTAATAGTTTTTAGTATGGCAAGAATGAAAAATTGAAATATTTTCAACATTTCTCTTTCAAAATTTCTATAAAGGAAGGAGACAATCCGGGGTGGTAGTCATAAATAGGCTAAATAGTGGTAAAACTATTTTACCTATTTATGACTACCACCCCGGATCGTCTCCTTCCTTTATAGAAATTTTGAAAGAGAAATGTTGAAAATATTTCAATTTTTCATTCTTGCCATACTAAAAACTATTAATATTATTGTGTTTAACACAATAAGAGCAATTACATTTCAATAAAGCCTTATAGATTTTAATAGGCATAAATGATTTAAACTTTATGGTTCCCTCCAAAATGTGGAAATTTTTAATAGGGTGTTTAAAAAAAAATGACCGTTTTTCAACCAAATATTTGTATTATTATTTTTTTGATATAAAATACAATTAATACTCAAAGTACAGTCCATTGTTATCTACTACCATTAGCCATCTGCTAGCTAATTGCTCAATCCCACGCTGATACCATTCTTTGGGATGGCTGTCAAAGAACTCTTGGACCGCAATTTCAACTTCTGCAAAATTATCAAATTTTTTTCTTGATTAAAATGGGCTATGGATCTAAATAAGTAGTAATCCGATGGTGCGAGGTCTGGACTACATGGTGGATGAGACAGGAGTTTGTGGATGAGAACGAGCATTGTCTTGTTGAATAAAATTCCTTTTCGGCTGTTCAAAACAGGATAATGCTCAGACAACTTTGTGAACAATCTTTACAGTTGTTGGCTGTAGAGTTCAGAATTCATAGAGCATCCATCAGGAAGAAATTCGTGATGAATATTACCTTCAAAATAAAAAAAAACGCAAAGCATGGATTTTTTTTTTCAAAAATCTCCCTTGCAGCAACTGAAAATACAGTCTAGCTATCTAGCCATTGCTCATGGGTATTCGGATTTCGCCAGTAAACCCACTTCTTATCACAGGTGACAATCTCCCGGTAAAATCTCATATCAGAAGGGTTTTTCAATAAATTTTGATAAAATCTCTTAGCTGATTGCTGAGGAGTAAGTTTGTGAGGGACCAGTCTACTGCTCTTTTTCACCTTCCCCATGGAAAATATATAGCGACTGACAGTATCTTTCGACACACCACACTCCTTGGCAAGTTCACGAGTACTTGTGGACGGTTTTGTCTCAACAGCTTCCTGCAGAACCTCATCAATATTCATTAATGGTCGGAGCCCTTCTTTCTTTCCAATGTCGTATTACCACTGCTAAATTTTTCAAATCAACAGACTGTTGATCTTTTAAGGCTAGGATTATCGTAGTGTATCCATTTTTCATCGCTAGTCCCAACATGATGTAAAAAAAACCGTTCCTTTTCTGTCGGTGAAACAGTAGTTTGCACATGAGAAAATGTCGTTCAACATCTCTCTGCTTCAACTCATATGACACCTAATTTCTTTGCTTCTGGATCATTCCTAATTTTTCAAAACTGATGTCATCTACTAGTAATGATTTTTCAAGTTCAGATGGAATGGGGCTTCATTAAGAAATTTCTCTAATTCTTCTTCTTCAAACTTATTTGGTATGCTAGATTGTACTTTATCTCAAAGATTAAAATCATTATTTTTAAAGCCCTGAAACTAGTCTCTACAAATCGTTTCTGACAGAGCTTGCTCGCCATAAGGCGCAATAAGAATTCTGTGTGCTTCACCTGCAGATTTCTTTTGAATAAAATAGTGCAATCAAATTCCCCCACAAATACTGATTTCTTGCCACAAAACTCAAAATTTTTAGAGCTACAGAAACAAACGTTGTTCACACTATGGCGAACTAGCACACTGAAAACATATAGTACTTGTACTGTGATCTGTTAGGAAACAGCGAGAACTTATTCAATGTCCTAATATTTACATTGCTTATTTTTAGAAAAAATATATTATGAATACATAAGAGCTTGGATTGTATGGAAGATAAATAATCTAATACAAATGTTTGTTTGAAGTATAAATGACTTGTTTTTAATCTGAACATAAAGAAATAGTTTCAGAATTAAGTAATAATTATTAAAAATAATTATAAATGAGAAATCAAAGACTTATTATGCAATATTTTTAGAGACCAGACCTGAAGATGGACAATACATTGTCAAAGGGTTTAATTATTTTATCGTCACATTATTATACAGACTGGTACTACAGAGGCAAATTTCTGTTCTCCACTATTGTATAAATAGAGCCAGAATTTTGCTAGCTTTTCAATATTTCACAGTCATTTTCTTAAAAAAAAGAGTTCAATAAACCATACAAATAATAATTATATTGTATTACAAGTAGCAAACTGATGATTAAGCTACTTCGTCTATATCATTTTAACCATCGATTTTTCTCTAATATCTAAGTGCTAATGTTTACAATAATAAATGAAAGTCAAAATTTCAGCCTAAATAAACAAACCATTTTTAGGGCTACAATACAGGTATGAAAAAAAAAAAATGGTTATATTAATATTTTTCAGGCACAAGGATGCTTCTTAGATCAACAGAGCAAATATTATCTAATACTCTACCTTAATGTTCAATGGTTTCTATAGGCATATCAACTTCTGAAGTCAATAGAAATTTAGTCAAATAGATTGCCCCACATGGGCTTCTACTATAAGAGAGAGCTAGTGTTTATAAGTTGGTGAAGGAGCTGGGCGTTTTAGGATTTTGATCATTCATGACTGTAGCCATATTTAGGGGGAAAAAATGGGTTAAAGGTTAGAACATGATGTGAGGAATGTTATATAGAAGTGTAATATCTGGCCCTTCCCTCTCCCTTTAATTCCTAATTAATAATAAACTCTGCAACTTTGCAAGTAGTTATTTACTTTTCTTTTTTGCTGGGTTCTTTAAAATATTCATAGTGGAGGTAGCATTTAGTATATTACCTTATATGCTCTTAAATATTTTTATAGTTTCGTGATATTTCATTGTCATAGTTAACTGCTTAGAAATTGGAATTGGTTGAAACTAAATTATGTGATGATAATTAGATGTTAATGTTGATATTTTAGTTTCTGTTTGCTAGACCTTTCAACAATGACTAATATAACTAAAACTGTTCTATAGGATGTTATGGTAGTCGGTGAGCCTTCGCTGATGGGTGGCGAGTTTGGAGATGAGGACGAGAGGCTAATCACGAGGCTGGAGAACACCCAGTACGATGGAGCCAACTCCCTCGACCATGACCCTCACCCTTTCGGAGACTCACCCCTAGCGCAGGCCAATTCTTGGGGGGGCCCTGGTGCGCCAGAGCCTCGCTCGGCCCCTGCAAACACTCCCTCATCCCAGGATTCAGGGGACAAGAAGTCACCGGCTGCCGTGAGTTTTAATTCTTAGTCTTTATTTTAAGTTAGTTGCTATAGCTGGGCAAATTTTTTTAATGACACTATGAAGCTTGGATCAATCTATATTAATTTGGTGCCAGGTCTGGAAACAGATAGGGTTGGGTTGGTCAGTCAAAGTATACCTTAATTAGACTTTTGGGCCGAATTGACTTGACAAGTAAAGTTTAAACATGGAAATGAACCCATTCTTACATCACATACCAATTTAATTAGTTGGGTTTTTAATTAAGTAAATATTGTTGAATTAATACACGTGGAACCAAATAACTGGAGTGTTTTACTCCATTATTTTCTATTCATATCTGATAAATTAAGCTGTGTATTTCCTTGAAACACATATGTTATACATTCAGAATTTATAAATGGTTCTTCAAGAATTTCTCTTTGTGAGTTATTTTGATTTGATGTTTTATGTCAAAGGCCGATTTATGCTTGAGCAACTATTACCAGCTATGATCAATGTTAAAAACTCAATGCCCTGAAACTCCATTAAAACTCTTAACTTTATTGTAAATTCAATAAGTATGAAATCTTATATAGCTCATATTTGATGTTTGAGATTTGAATTGCAGCTCTCAGATTGTTGCACTTGCCTCCAATATCAAATAATATTAACCTTTAAGGGCTGTTTGCTGAGTCAAGGCTTTAATTTAATCGTAAGCTACTATTTTGGTGGTACTGCAGCGGGAGACTTGATAGTGCTTTTAGGGAATAGAATGGAATATATTTCATAGGTAGTACTATGGTTCTCGGTTATGTTATCGCATTAAAGAAGAGTTTTGGCGATAATGGTCACATTGCTTCATTTCATTTTCTTTTTTTGTCATCAAGTCAGACAAAATTAAATGAAAAAGAAAATAACATTTTAAACAGAACTATAGCAAATCATTTTTGTAGGATTGAATTTGCAAGAGTAATCATTATTATTTAGATCTAATTTTAAAAATATGTTTAAATCCAAATAACATTAGATAAATCAAATAATGGTAAAGAAATTAATCTCAAATTAATACTCAAATCTAAATGTTAAAATATCAATATGTCTTTTTATATTAAACAGTTGATTTACTTATCATCATAATGATAAAACGTTATCTGTTATTATATTACAAATATATAATGTTTATTACTAAAATTATTGTAATAATAACATGTAAACAATTTAAAATCAGACGCATGCCCACAGTTCTTAAAATAATATTTTTTCTTTTTATCTTGAAGTTGATATTTTCTGTTTAAAATATGACAAGATACTATCACTTTGTATAAGGTGGGTTGAAATATGTACTTTATAGGCTGATAATGGTAAACACTTTATTGTCCAGACAAAACCTAACCGTAAGCCTGTAAGACATAACCCCTTTATTCAACTTATTGGTAATAAGATAAATCAGGAGTCTTGAAACTTTTTGGCTTTGGAGCCACATCGTGACCTTCCAGTCCCGCGGGCTGTGAAGCCACGACTTGTGATGAAAAAAAGGTTTGTTCTAGAAATGATACTTTAGTTGTGAAATAAGCTTTCTAAGAGAAATGATACATACAATTAAATTAGAGAATCCGTGCCGTGAACTGTTGTTGGTGACCCCTGTGATAAGTTAACTAATACAAAAAAAATGGCATGTATCAATGAAATAAAATCCAAATTCCACTAGCGTATGCATTTCTATCCTTGCAACTCAAATGTAATTCATAAAATTTAAGACTCATATTTTTATTTTAAACTAGTATATTTTATACAAGAGGAGTTGGCCTGGCCGCTATCATGAGCAGCTTCACAGAATTAGTATCTTTAGATTTAATCTAATCTTCAACTTGACCTAATCAACTAGATTATTTAACCATAATGTTATGTTCCTGTTTAGTTTAACTAGTTATTTTCTAGTTAATCCTTAAATTTGTTTATTTTATGTCTTGATGGTCAAAACTTGGTCACAAACTAAGTCCAATTCTTGATTCAGCAAAATGCTCTGAAACATAATTTTTTTTTAATGTTTTATGTTATTCAAGATTTATTAATTTTATTATTTGTTTTTTTTTTTGTTTCAGTTCTTTGATCAGTCAAACACAAGTGCGAATGCTTTGAACAATGGTGTGTGCAAAAACGTGTGACAAAGTGGGCATTGGCCCGAAGAGAGGGTGACTAAATAGTGCCTTTGCACTGCATCCTCGATTCTTTGTATAAAATTCCTGCCCATTTAATCACAGATTTTTTTTTAATAAAACACATATATGAGATATTATATATATAACTATATATAATATATATGTACAAAATATTAAAAAAAAAATCAACAAAAAAGAAAATGAAAAAAATTGTGAGAACTATACGAGAATGATGGTGTCAAAGTGTGAAACACTAATCCAGTTCCCTTTCTTGTTGCCGATCATTTTGTTTTATTGTACAAATGAAAATAAGTGTCCTACGATTATATGTGCAATGGACTCGATTAGGTCAAATCGGATCGTACCTTAATTATTACTTATTTCTCTTCATTTTTTATTTACTTTTATTTTTTAATTAATCTGTTAAAGAGATTGTGAGAAGACAGATCAGTATTCGATAATGTGAGCCATGAGGAGCACATAAGGCTAAATTTTAGTATAGTGGACGTTATTAATACTGTATGTGGAAGTTTCCTTACTGTATATTTATTCTTATAGTGTTACAGGTAGACTTAGCTGAATTATAAAAAAGCGTTTTTAATTGAACCGAATGGAACATCACTTAATAATGTAATGGATAACTCACCGATCCATCTTCGGATCTGTGTATTGTGATAGTCTTAATGAAGAAAGCGGACTGTGTAAAATATAAGATTTTTAAAAAATGAGAGGAAACTGTTTTAATGGAACGTTTTTTAGCTCATTTTTCAAATTTATTTTATTTGGGGGATAGCAACGATTTTATATATTTTCAAATTGGGATAAAAATTAGCACAAAATATTGAAGGGCCTATTCTGCAGCCTAATTGAAATTGCTGCTGGCAGATCTAGAGATTAACATATTTTAAAAGGGGGGAGGGGGGAGCAAGTTGACGCAAATTAAAAAAAAAATACAAAAACAAACAACGGACACAAGTAATTTAAGATTAAAAGTTTTTATTAATGTTTTATAAACTGTATAATTAATTTATTTTGTTGTATCTTGCACAAGTACCTGGGTTTTCAATGAGGATTTAATAGACAACCAAATTACCTATGCTAAAAATTGGTTTCCTTTTTTTATTAAAAAAAAAAAGTACTAATTTTATGTTTGACCTGTAACATTAATTTCTGTATATTTTAATTGTGATTACAGTTTTACACATTTTGGTGACAATTTTATTGAGGCATTTATTCCTAGGGCGTAGGCAATTTAAATACATGGATTGTCCAAACTATGCAAGCTATAATGTTGAACTCTAGTTTATTGTAATAAATTGTTTTTAATACTCATATTTAATGTTTATTTATTATCATAATTAAGTTTTTTATGTGATGTAACAACACATCACATTAGTTGTATTTATATATATTTATGTGCTTTTTAAGGAGCTTGTATGATTATAGTTTGAATGATCTGTGTATTGATATTTTGTAACATTACTTGTCACCAAACAAGTGTAAAACCTTTTTTTTTTAATTAGTTGTATATTTTAGTAAAACTGTTACTTAAAAACATGGCACTTTGTAATGAATGTTTATTTCTGAAGTAACCCAATTTTTACATGAGGGTTAATTTGGAAAATGTACAACTTTTAATATTTGTCACATGACATGCATGGATGGCAAAGTTATTTTTGTAATTTTTTAATAACTAATGAGGCCTGAAATGTATCTGTGTTATTTTTCTTAGAATATCAATATTCTAAAGTTTTGTGAATAGTAATTATTGTTAATGTAAATTTGTAAATTGCAGGCTCATTTAAATATATAACTTTTATATCTGTTTGACCTGGTTAACATTTGGAGAAGAGCACTCGTATGGCCCAGCAGATTAATCTGCTCGCCTCGATACTGTCCTCAATATCTTAACCTGTATATATTTATATTTGTTTTAATACAATAATCTATTATGTAAGTTAGTTACGTATTATTCTAAAGAATTTTTATAATTGATAAAAATCATTCATAACTTTCCCATCCATGTTTTTATTCAACTAATTTCTCTTGTTAATATTGTCAGACCTAAATTATAATTTTATGTTCATTTCTTCTTACATATATGCCAAAATATGTAAATTTATTCCATTCCCTATTGTTAGATATTATAGTTCTTTAAAATATATCCGAATAAAGGAATTTTTAAAAAGTGTCACACAAATAAATTCTTTTATAGGAGTGAACATTTATTTCAAATGTTTTTAAACTTTAAAAAAATATATATATAAAGTTATATCCAGTACCATCCTCTGTGCTATGGTTTATTTTATTTTATTTTTTATTTAAAAGTCAAGATGGCACTTATACTTTGTAATTAGGCTCATTGTGGATTTTTATTATTAAATATTTCATTGTACATAAGCCTCCTTTTAAAGAAACAATTTTTTATATAAAATAAATAAATAAAAAATCAGCTTCCCTGGAGGTATAAATGCCATTCTTAGTCGTTAAATTTTATCACCTAGAAAAATTTTGACATTATTTTGTCCATACCTATTGTATATATTTAATAATTTCTTCTTTATTAAAAAAAAAAAAAAAAAAAGGATGAATGAAATACATGAAAAGAACAAATGTTAACGAAACCATTTCTTGGTGCTTGAAGCCCAAACTTCATTTCCATGTAAATAGTTAAATTATATATATAAATATATACATATATAAATAAGTAATATTAAAAAAAATAAGAAGAAAAAATGAAGGCTATTCCAGGGATTTGAATTAATTACTTGTATATCAGTGTATATATTGATGGAACAAGGATTTTCAGATCATTTATTGTTATTGCAAAATAGGTGTATGAGTTTGTAATTTAAGTCAAAAAACGTTTCTTAAAATATAAATTGTTTTAAAAAATGAAAAAAAAAAGAAAGAAATAGTTTCATATGACACAGCGCTCCTTATGGGGACCAAGTTTTGATTTTGTCTGTATTTATTCTTAATTTTACTTTACCGTTATCAAAGTATTTATTATTTCTTCTTGGATTTTCTTTTTCTGTCTTATATACATATATATTTCGAGAAAAAAAATTGAGCCAATTTTATAGAAATTTAAAATGTTTTAATTTTTTTTCTTTTATTTACCCCCATTTTTCTTAATTACTTAATTGAATAACTTATGTTATTATTAAAGTTGATTACATTCATGAACAAGTTAGTAGGATTGTGATGCTGACATTAAGGTGAATGCAAGTCAGTCAGTTGATTGGTTGGTTATGATCGATCACCCATTTTTATGCTAGCCCTAATCTGTTATTATTTTTTATATATTTTTAAGTCAGATAAGAAATACAATAACATGATTCAATCAAGTTGTAGCCGATCACTGATTTTGTAAATTACATCAAAATCAACTTCCATACTTACATAATTTTATTGGTATAAATACTAATATCATGTATAATTCAATAAGTCCAATGATAACTAATCCTGGCAAGATTTTGATGATGTAGTTCAAGTCCCTTTTGAAAGTTCATTAATATAAAGCAAGCAGAAGTTTGTGCTGAAAGCTTAGTTTTATAATCTTTGAAGAAAGAACTCTAGTTTAGGTACTCTTGTGAACTATTACAGTCATTATTGTGAACTATTACAGTATTTGTTGTATTATTGTGAGAGGACAGGATGGCTGAGCACGTTGGAGTGTGGTCCCTAGAGTGCCCGGTTCTGAAGTTGTGGGTTTGATTCCCACCTACATAAGAGGCCCGACATCCCGTCACCAAAATTGGATCTCATCCAAAAGTCTCCACCAGTTTGTTTGGTCGCTTGCTTCAGCTCTCCAGTTTCGGACTCCAAGAAAGGCTCCTCCGTCCGCAGAGACCGAGTCCATCCATTGCACCTTTGGTCGTCCAACTTGCCGCTTCATACAGAACTCTTTGGTAAGGATCATTTTCGGGATTTAGTAGGCAGCCACACTTTGCTCATGTCCTGCCCATCGTTGATGAACTTGACTATATCAACATCTTTGTAGAGTATCATTAGTTAGGCATTCCTCCTTCTCCATACGTCGTCCTGTCTAACAGGGCCGAAAATCCGTGTAAGAATGTTCCTCTTGAAGACAAGATGCTTAGACTCGTCCGCCTTCATGAACTCCCAAGCCTCTTGACTCATAAGTGATCACTGGGTGGACCAGGGTCTTATAGAGCTTGATCTTGGTCCGGTTAGAGAGCATTCTGCTTTTAAATGTTTGGCAAGGCCAAAGTAGCAACGGATAGCTGCTGCAATCCTTCTGTTGACTTCCTGGGGAGTGCCATTTTGGGAGTTGATTTCTGAACCCAAATAGGTGAAGCTGCTGATCTGAAAACAGTTTGATTTCCACCTAGGTCAGTTAATTTTCATTTCTCGGCAGCCCTGGGAAATAAATCTTGACATTCCCACTCTGGTAAGTACGCGAAGGCAACCTTAAGGTAGCCGCCAGTAGATGGTAAAATGGACCACGATAGGGCCCAGTTGCTGGACTAGTTCCCGCCACCAGTACCAGTATATTATTGTGAAATCTACATCACAGCTAATGCTAGTTACAATTTACTTTCATAATTATTTTTCAATATTATAATAAGTTGCATTTGAACGATGAGGAAGAAAACTTTCTTTTTAAATAATATTTGTATATGAAAACAAATTGTATATGAAAAACAGAAACTTCTCTGTGTTGGAAACTTGAGATAAAATAATAAGCTCAGGTTACAAAAATAATATATCTTTGGTTTATTGCTAAGTCATTAAGTGACATTTCATAACCTCAAATTTTTTTTTTTTTTTGTCTTCAATTCTTTATCCGCATCTGTCATGGTTAATTCTAATAATTTTGAATTTTCTCTTTTTGAGACCATATATGATAAATATGGTGTGTGTTATTTTCATGCACGTACAGTGATTAAAGATAAGATCATAATTCACAATAACATATTTGAAAGTTAACCTAAATTAAAAATGCACTTAGTGACTTTTTGCAATGTAACTGATGATATAATCTAAAAAAATTATTAAACTAATGGAAATAAAAAAAAAAAAAAATCAGTATTGAAATAAATCTACATTTACAAAAAAGTTTTATAAGTTAAGAATGACTTCAGAGGCGTTACACTTTTTGGAGAAGAGCTTTTATAGTTTCTTAAGAAGTAAAGACATATTGAAATTATGACACAATAGGTAGGTTTCTAACTGGTGTAGTATGTAATTTGAAGATTATTGGAGTTAGGTAAAGATGAAAACAGGATTTATCTGGTATCTAAGGCATTCAAAAAATACAAATGAATGAAAAATCTCAAATAAATTGATGCAATACAGTCATCTTTCGATAATTAAAAATCCAAGAGACTACAAGAAAACTTTGTCTTATCAAAAAGATAAAAAATTCCAATTATTAAGGGTTTTTATTATATTTTTGAAAATATATATAAGATTCCATAAATTTTATCTAAAAGTAGCCTCATGTCAAAAATATTACTATTAAAACTTCTAATTATAAAGAGAAGTGGCATAGTTCAAATTGTAGAACGTTCTCTCCCTCTCTTCTTACAAAAAGGATTTTGAACTATCAAAATATAGCATTTTTTTACTTAAGTTAATAACTGCTATATTTTGTAAAAGAGTTGGAATTATTTTGAGTTTGACAATGCCTCTAATATTAGAAAAATTGTATGGACAGTATTTTAGACTTCAAATTTAAGACACCCACTTTCCAAAAATTGAATTAATTTTAAGTGTTATTTTAAAATTGGAGAAGAAATTCATTTTTGAGCCTGTTTCCCATGACCATAATAATAATCAACAATTACTATTACAGTAATCATGATTGCTTGGTTACAATTATAATTATTTATTGCGGATTACGATTGTGATAAGGTAATTGTGTTACATTTTTGCTATTTTTAATCAAGTATAAAATTGGCATGGTCATTAAATTTTATTTTCAGTTGTAATCAGTGAATCTGATTTTACCCATCTCAGCCCTCGACATAATCTTTGATATGAAATGTATTCTAGTCTACTATCATGTTACTATTAGTTGTCTTGTTAAAATGACTCAAGCCTTTTTATATATCTAATATAGTTTCAACAAGTGCACAATTTTCTGCTTTCACAAAAGTAAAACTCATCAAAGTTCTACTAAGTGGCTTTCAAAATAAACTCTTGAATTCTATTGCAGTTCAATTTTTTCCATGTAAGTATACAATTTTGTTAACTAATCACTAAATAATTACCACAAGTCTCTTGCTTCCGGGTTATTAAGATATTTGATACCATGGAAGTAACTATCATAAAAAGAAATAACTTGCTTTTTTTACTATTATTCAGACTACTTTAATCTACCTTTCTCTTTTAAATACTAAGGACAGGTCTATTTAAAGTTAGTTAATCAACTTATTGCAGAAGTATTTTAATTATGGCCCAGAGGCTAAAACCAGGTGTGCCATAATTTATTTTAATGAAATTGTAAATTTTATAAAATAAGTCATAAAAAATGGTCAATCAATTTAATATGATCAATAAATAAATATAATGACTGTTATACATAATGAAACTGAATATTCTAACTAAATTAATGTAATGAGTATGTTGATATGATGACCGAGCAAGATCTTGAGGCTTTATCTTGAAAGCAAAATTAGTAGCAGACTCAGTGTAACCCAAGGGATGCATGCATCAGGATTGAAACTAGATGTTAAAGTTTTTATCTTATTAAAGCATTATAAAAATAATTAACCAGACAAACCAATATTAATTTCCTTTTAATATATTTTTTTTCTTTTTATTTTACATATATAACGCAAATAAAAATACATTAACTAACTAATATTTGCTTCTAAATTCCCTCTGGTTAAAAACATTTGTTCAGGTTTGTACCAATTTTATCATTTTTTTTTTTTTTTCATTCAAGATAAAATGATTTCATATCATTTTCTTCAATTAATATAATGTAGTTCATATGAAAACAATTATTTGACCAGTAAAAGAGAAGAAAAATTTTTTTTCATCACTTCTGTTATTCATTTAAATTAAGTACTGCTGCCTTTCTAGTAAAATCAATATTTCATTGAAAATATCTGTAATGTCATGCTTACTAACTAAATTTGATTATCTTTAAAGAATCTCTTATAATGGATAAGCTTCTACAACTCATCATTTGAGGACCTAGTTCAGATAACATTAAATATGGGCTATTCAAAAATTTCTATCTCATTTACCTCATTGAACAATAACTGTCGAATCACATCTGCAAGCTGTTACATAATTTTTTCTCATGATCTATCTTTTTGGAAGTATATTTAACATTTATTAATCAGTAAAAATTTTAATTATATGGCCCAGAAAAAAAAAATTAAATGCTATCTTCTCACACCGTAGTACAGTAACTATTGTGACAACCCAGATGAACTAACACAGTAAGCTGTATGTACATCATAAATTATTTAATGAGGAGGCTCTAAAATTAAAGCTACTTGAGAAAGGATATGAGAGCTGACCTTGAAATTCATATGAAGAAAAAAAAATTTATTAACATACTCTCTAGAAAATTTTTAACAGTTAAAAGTTATCCGAAACAAGGTTCTGCTTTGAGCCCAATGACAACACCACTTCAAGATTTTTTCTCTTTTTTTATTTTATTTTTTTGAGACAGATTTCCTCTGCTTTAGTTTAGAGAATAATTATTTTATTAAAAGAGTTGAAGTGTTTTTTTCTTCCTCAATTCCTAGTCCATTAGTTTTTCAATAAAGATAAGTCAATTTTAATCACACTTGGTGAATTTTGATAGTAATTTGTTGAGAATATTTTAAATTAACTCAAAAGATGAATTAGCTTTTATGCCCATGAAAGGTTAAATCCCCTAATCCATGACTTTAGATTCCTTAGTAAGATCAATATAATATATAAATAGCTGTTATCAAAAAAGTAAACCACTTAAATAAAATGTATCAAAACTAAACAATACAATTATTTACTCACAATATACAAAACTAAATTACAATCTAACATTAATATATTCTAAGAGAAAAAATAATTATGACAACTGTGAGGTAAACTTTAAGCATGTAGCTACTGACATTCTTTT